ATTCACTGGCGCTGCGAATAGATGTTGCATCTCTTTGCATATTTTATCGTATCTATCACGGAGAGTGCTCTGAGGAATTGTTCGGAATCCCAACCGCCAAATTTCATAAACGCACTACGCGGCAAACTCCCCCGATACCATCCACACCATCTAGACGCTTGGCGGTCCACCACTGTACATTTCACTAGGAGTTTTCTTCCGCGTACGACCTCTCTGTGAAATAGTTTACCACCGGCAATTTTTCCGGACCGATACGACCTCCTACATTTAAAAGCTTACTCCTTTCTAAAGGGACGGCAACGCATCTGCAATTCCCCTGGTGTTGCGGTTGTTCATGGGCTGCGGTAGTCACTTACCAACAGGTGAACCGTATGCTCGTTTGCCCCTCTTCTATAATTTTTTTTTCATTTGGGATGGACCCTAGGCTGGTACCTTACCTGGTAGGAGATATCCCCTTTACCATCTACAGCCAAAGCATTTACTTGTATAATATTAAGTTTTATTTCTTTATTATTAATATTCAGTTATGGTTTTGAAAATCATTGTGTTGTCAATTTGTGAAAATAAATATTAATACGTTACGTTTGCAAATTATTATTATATTATTAAATATAATTATCCACAATACTTCATTAATCAAAACTAATTTTCTGTTAACATTTTTGACTTTTACCGGACTATTTTTCGAGTGTGAGTATGTATGTATATTTTTGGCATACTCTGTAACCTAAACCTCGAGGATAAATAGAATCGACTTAACTGTGGGAGTGACATAGACATATAATATTTGTATATTGCATCTGCAAATACACAAAAAGTGATAGTTTTTTTTTTTTCAGTAAACTTTTAAGGCAAAAACATTAATCAAAAGTCAAAAAATTTGTAAATTCGCTCAGTCTGTCAATACAGCGAATCGGGTTTGTTGTCGTGATAATATGACGTAATTGCTTGTATGTGTGCTCCCGACACCGATCCTCGTACAAAATAAGGTTGACAGCCATTCTATTGTGTATTATAGTATTTTATGCTTTTAACCAATAAGCTTGTTATTTCAATACTTTCTTAATATGAAATATATACTTTCAGACGCCTGGCCTATACCACATGCCGCCCGAGCTGCAAATGCTGCACAGCAGCGCCTCAATGCAACACCTGCAGTTGGTGCAGCTGGCCGCGCATCAGGCCGGCCTGGCGCACCAGCTGCAGCCGCTCCCGGGCTTGACTCAGATCCAGCCGCACCCGGCCCTGGGCCAGATTCAGCCGCATCCGGCTCTCAGCCAGATCCAGCCGCATTCGGCTCTCAGCCAGATACAGTCGCATCAGGCTCTAAGTCAAATGCAGGCACATCAGGGTCTAAGCCAGATCCAGGCGCACCCGGGTCTCGGCCAGATTCAGGCGCATCCAGGTTTGAGTCAGGTACAAGCGCATCACACGGGAATCGTACCAACGAGGCCACGCCCACTTTGTCACCATCACGCGCCACGACACGCAACATAACTACTGTTACATGGTATAGTGCCGTATGTACAGTATAATAATTTTTCGTACGAGAAAACGTACTAGGTATCGTATATTAGTAGCGAGTTGCTTTGAAAGTATGTACGGCACTAACTGGACGGTGCTATGCCGTCACACCACGCGCCCTCACCAAATCGTCACATCACCCAAACACCATCAGCAATAGAAATATACATATTTGTATGAGGAATACTTAACTGTAGGCGAATGTAAACGGTTGGAAATGTAAAGGAATAGGTTTTCTGAGCTGAAGTACCATAGTCTCAACCATACAATACATACATAATAGAACGGGGGAGTGGACGGAGCCCGCGTAGTCACTAAAATGTCACTAACATGACAATTCATCACACGTATAAATGTCAACACGAGATGTGTTTTGACGTTACAATCGTTTCCGAATTTCGCATGCAAATTATTTAGAAAATGACAAATTGCACAAACAAATATTTATTAAAAATTTAAACGATTTTTTTAAATGATGATCTTGAACATCAATCAAAAGTCTAAAATGTGTAAATTTACTCAGTCTGTCAACACAGCGAATCGTGTTTGGCGACGCCAATCCTCGTACAAAATAAGGTTGACAGCCATTCTATTGTGTATTATAGTATTCTATGGTCTCAACGTTAAATGTAACAAACCGTTTATAATCGTCTTTTTGCTAAGTTTTCCAATCCAATAGCAAGCAACGCCGACACCTTCTGAGCCCTATGTATCCACAGGCTACGTTCACATTGATGTGGAATGAGCAATACAAATTATTAAATGTAAAAAAATATTAATATATCAATAAGAACGTCCCAGTGGATTGATAATTAAGTGCTATTCGAGAAGAATAAAGATATATGTGAAAAACACCTCCCCTGTATCGCCGTTGCCCAGACGGCACAACGCGATTATGTAACTGGGAGAATAGCTCTGTAACTGCTCTATGTTTTTTTCAGTTGTATTATAATATTAAACATAAAATAATATATCAATATAAAAGACATTATAATCTATACTGATACATTTACACAATTCAACAAAACCCACACGTCACATGTCACCAGACTACGACATCCAATAAGAATTACACAAGCGCACTGGAGTTTGTGACGACTTCAACAATATTTATTTATACGTACTATAAGCGACAAACAATACTAACTCGAGTTACAAGTCTTACCACATAAAAAATATTTCTCGAGAATTTATATAAAACCATGATATTTTAATCAATATGTAACGGTACTTGGTAACATTTAGAAATATTTTGAACTGATTTTATTCATACTGTTTACCGCCCGATACGATACAAGATTGAGAGAAATTACGTACAAAAAAATTAAAACAGTACTATTTTGCGAAGACTGTACGGCGACGTGACGTAAATTTATTAACCTTCGACCCGTTCCTTAGATCTTGATATTTTTTCCTAATGTTAAGTGTATGTGTACTAAGGTTAAACAAGACAAGTTTTGATGTATTGAAAATACGATTAACGATATATATAATGTTTACAGCTTGTTTTAGACTATTAGATATATGGCTTTTCATGCGTAAACCAAAGCAATGCAAACTTCATTTTTCTTCCATTTCCATTCCATTTTGTCGCAATTTCAGCACTTACCTAAATATTTTTTAATATTATTTGCTTCTTCGCAGTATTAGCATTTCGTTGTCAGGTTATTTCAAACAAATGCATTATGCTATAAGGTTCAGAGGCTATTTTTGTATTGTAACGAATTGGTTTCACTTCCATTCAGTTGGAATGTAAGGGCGCTGTGGTGTAACTTGCCAGCTCGTGTGTGTGTGTGTGTTTGTGTCGAGACGATTGTGGCTTACACCTTGCAGATTGCGAATGTGTGCGTGATAAGGAGGAAATTTAGGTTCGGCAGGGATCATTTGTCGTTATTAACGACTAGTAAAGTTTTACTTTAGGTGAGGCCCAATTCATAGGTATTCTCACCTACGTATACCATGTTTAAATGTAGACTATTGGTGATAGATGCCAAATAATCCTAACAAAGAACTGAATTTTATATACATATTAACTGTTCTGAGGGTATTTAGACTTTAGGTCCTTATTTATGTAATTTAAATGCAATTAGCTTTTCTAAATGCTATTTCATTAAGTCATATTATTTATATACTTTTAAGTAAATTCTTTTATTTAAATTTTTGTATCTCGCAAATTGAGTTTCCTATAATAGATCAATATCTTAACTATACTAGTGCTCAAGTTTAGGAAGTTTTAGTGTTTATGTAACAACACAAATTTGAAATGATATTTAATTTGTGCCAAGAGTTTAGTTTAAGCAAAAGTTATAGTTGCCACAAGTTATTTAACATCTGATACCAAGTATTTATGTATTTTATTAGCTTCTTTCTTATTTCAAATACAAGTAAGATATAATTGGCCTAAGTATTTTTCAATGTGTAGGTTTTATATCCTAACATTTAAGAATTAACTTATCTAAATGTCAAATCGAAAGAGAAGCGACATCTATCAAATATATAATATTATGTAATATAGGTACAATATATATCCATTTATTTTAACTGCATGGATAATGATTGATATTAAAAATGCAAGTATAGGAAGTGCAATATTGTTTACAACCCCGGTGCTTAGTGTAATTTTAATCTACGTGACAAATGTCACGGGGAACTCGGTATGTTGCAGAAAAGCAGATTAAATATGTACATCCTCAGAACATTTTAAAGAATAGTTATACATATTATATGAATGAAAACATAACGAATTTTGACGGTAAATAAAAAATATTGTTATTGATATGAACAGTATAGGTTTTTTTTCGTGATTTTTTTAGCATCGTACATTGTATATAGATAGTACTGAAAGTAGATTTGGATATGAGCGATCCTAGAATGTTAACAATATTAGCGTGCTGCAAACTCAGTGTTCTGTGACTTACATCATTCCAGCGCAATCAGTAGATTAAACAATATTTGTCAAACAATGTTTTTGTATTGTTGTAGGATAAGATTGAACCAATTCGCACAAACACGTTTTATATTGACTTTAAGGCCTGAAATTTTTTGTCTCAAATTCACCTGTCAATTTGGACTTGTTCGTGATGTTTGCTTGTTGATATATATTGACAATATTTTTGCTTTTAATCAAAATTAGTACCTACCATTTAGTTTATAACGTATACTAAATGAAAGGCAGGTTTTCACTATTTTTGAAATTTTGTGTATGGACACGTCATGGGGATTTATTTTTATAGTACACTGTGGATAAAGCACTTTTTGTATATGAATGGACATAAGATATAGGAGTAATGTCAACTCATTGTTTTATTAAAATAAGCATTTGATAATTTTAAAATATCAGCAAGTTTTGAATAATTCGATATTATTTCTAAAATTAACATAGACAAGTCCCAAAACAACTCACTCCTGTATTATTTTTATAATTTATTTGTTTGTAAGTTATAGCTGTATAAATATGCTTTAAGGCTTCATGCTTCATCGCAATAATTAAGTTTCGCTACTTCTGTCTTATATGGAAATAATATAATTGTATTTGTATTTTATCGATTATTAGTTAGCCAATTTTTAAGTATTTTTGTATACAATGGCGCCATCACAATTATTATGGAAATGATCAATCGTATACATAGATTAAGATTTGTGAATGAATGTTAGGCTTATTTAAACTAGAAGTTATTAGTAATTGTTGCTGTGTTACATGACATTGATGCGTTATGGTTTACATTACTGTACAGCTGTAGCGAGATTAATTGATCGGTGGTTAGAGAATGTAATAAAATCAAGTGCGACTGAAGTTAGTTGATACTGTAATGTGTGAGAGAGTAAAGGTCTTATTACCTCCGAGTATCAATTAAATCTATTTTAAGTTTCTTGTAAGGCAATGTTACACTGTCATAATTGACGTAGATATTATGATCGCACATTTATCTTCTTACACTTTCTTAAATGTCTGAAGGATGATAGTGTAACATTGGCCTTACATTATATGGTTATGAATTATTATTATTACACACTTACATGTAAATTTTTTTAACACAACAATAAATTTAAATGTGAAAATTCTGTTGTTTTATTAAGGTATCATTAGATAAGTTTTTTACGTGGTAGAGCCATGCTGCAGTTATATTAGTAGTATAGTTGTAGCACGAATGGGTCGGCTCGACCGGGGAAGGACCACGCTCTCACAGAATACCAGCGTGAAATAGTAGCTTAATGCTGCTGTGTTTTCTATGGTGAGTGTAGAGAACCGGAGACCCTTTATACTGGAAATCACTTATTACTTTTTTATCATTTCAAATACCCAGATAACATACTTATTCGACTACAAGAAAATATGACATAATTTCCTGGTATTATTAACTTTTAGTTTCGTTTTGACAGCCCATAAAATTATTTTCATTAACATTAGTAGCACCACAATAGCACAGCGGGGTAATATATCAGTCAAAAGGATTAGTAAAAAAGGTTTCAAAAATACTTCACAAAATTATATTTCCCAAACGCTCATACACTACTTTTATACGTTTTCTATATACTTTAGAAATGTCTTCAATCCGAGACAGCAACAAGGAATCGTATTCAAGTCTTTTTATTGTTGCTTCTATTTCACTAGAGTCTAATTTGGTCTTTTTACTTGGTGGTTCTTCTGAATCACTTTCACTATCAAACAGAGTGTCTATGTCCAATTCGAAATTAGTCTGTGATTTTGTTTTCTTTATAGAAGCTTCAAGCTCAATTTTATTTTCTACACACTTGTGAATAAATGAACAATCAGTGTATAAAATTAATCGCTTCTTTCGTTCTATCAGATTACTATAGTTTGTATTTAACATTTGATGCCATTCCTCTTGCAGTGCAGGAAATTCAATAATTATTTTCATAACAAAAGTGTTGAATTGTTTCTGGTGCCTGTATTTAACTAGTTCACTAAAGGTGTAATGTTTTATAATGGGCGCAGTTTCCAAAAGCAAATATTTGAGTGTTCCATTTATAATAGAATGAACTGACATAT